AGAAACAAGCCAGGGGGACGAACTTTTTTTTACCACAGACATAGCTCACTATGGGCTACAAGATGCGCAAAACTCCGGCTGAAAAGCGCTCTGGCACCTGGGAAGGTTCCCTTGTTAGCGGCTTATATCTATATGTAACCTCTTATACTTATATCTAACCCCTAATTTCTACATTTAAACTCTTATTCCTATACTTAACCCCTCAGAACTATATCTAATCTCTTGTTTGTATACCTAACTTGGTATTCCTATGCTTGAATCCTTATGATTACGTCTGATTCCCTACTTCTATACCTAAACTCTTGTTTCTATATTTAACCTCCTATAAGCATACATTTTTAACTATGCTCTTACCCCTCTGTAGTTACATGTATACCATAAGACATATACCTTCATAGCTGTGTTCTTATATCTATCCCGTCACATCTATACCCGTTCGCTTGTATTTTGATGTCCATATCGTTACCTGTGTACCCTTACATCAATACTCTTGAAAGAATTCCGTTATAACTATACTACGGTAAGTATACGCTCAACTTGACTCTCACTCTTGATAAGATCAACATTGAAGAGAAGTGTCTGATAGTGTATTATATACTATACTGAACAAAGTTTTTTGGACGACTTTGTTCTAAGTATAACTTTCCCATAACGTTGACTTTTGAGATGCAGTTTGTATCAAAATTACAGACACTGTTTACACTATGTCCACAGAAAATTTCTTCCCGAAATGTTGAGCCATAGTGGAACCCAACATATAACAATTTGAAATCATCACTAATTGTTGGACGAAATTCATTGGGCGATCTTTTAAATTATCTGGTTTCTTTTTGATAATTGTTCAAAAGAAGTATAAGCATACAAATAGAAAGAGAGTGTTATTTTATGATACACAGTTGACAAATTTCAATGTGAACTCTTTATTACTTTTATCTAGTGAGTAATTTTTCTTTCGAAATATCGTATTGAACACAGCATCTGACGCTGCATAAGATAGTAGATTAAATAAAGTTTTCCAATAAACCTTTTTCAATTTTGAGAGGTCATTTTCTGAAAAATGTGCACTATGAGACGTTCTTTTAAATATGATATTCGGAAAGAAAAATTACGCACCATATAAAAGGGATAAAGAGTTCACATTGCGCTTTGTCAACTGTGTGTCATAAAATAACACCCTCTTTCTATTTATTTGGTTACACTTCTTTTGAACAGTTGTGAAAAAGAAACTACATAATTTAAAACATCACCCAATGAATTTCGTTCAACAATAAGTGATTATTTCAAATTGTTATTTGTCCAGTTCCACTATGGCTCAACATTTCGAGACGAAATTTTTTATGGACCTAATGTAAACAGTGTCTGTAATTTTGATACAAACCGCATCTCAAAAGTCAACGTTATAGAAAAGTTATAGTTAGAACAAAGGCGTCCAAAAACATGGTGTTCAGTATAGTAAGCGAGCAAAGTAGGGCGAGAAATAGATATAATACCAGCAACTCTCTATGCCTAATACTTTATAATAGTAAATTGAGTCTAATAACTTCCAATCCTGCTGACTCTTAATGATTACAGTGCGTACTGACAGTGAAGGAAAAACGAAACATCATTCAAATCATACAATATCAGATGATTTTAACGAATCAGGTACCATTTTCATATGTTGTCTAAGCAAACTGGTTTACATGAAACCTTCTGACATGCAACTGATATTAATGGTTTTGTATAAAAGCTTTTGCTTGCCGACCACACAGACAAAGGCTTGAAAAAAGCTTTGACAGAAATTGCTCACGCAAAAGGTTTTGTAGAAAATATATGGATCATTTTTCTTTTCTCACAGTACGAAAATAGTTCGGAAAGAAAAATATGGTATCATCTTACACTGTACAAAGCTATGAAGGGTTTCATAAGATAACTACGCAATCTTCCATTGTATCAACTACATACAGTAGATTTCGTAGAAAAAAATACGAAACTTTTTTGTATCGGTCGAAACTATTGAAGGTTCTCTACAAATCATACAGAGTCTCGTAAAGAGGATACGAAACTTATTTTTGATCCTAGAAATGGTTTTGTATGAAAGATACTAATCTCGCCGAATTTCTCTGAACCAAAAAAGGTTTGGTTAGGAAAGTACAAAACGATTTTCATTTTGCGAAACCTAAAAAAGTGCCATATCCAAATGCGAAACTTGTAAGATTCAGTAATAAACCTTTTTTTTAGAGTGTAGGAAAATATTTCCGAATTCATATCTGTGGGATAGAACCTTTTCTTGTTTAGAGTATGTTAGTGAAGGACATTCTCGAAAGTTTTACCAAGTTTCCTTCGAAGAAGAAGACGAATGTCTTATTCGTAGACAATGATGGTGATGATTCATTTTCTTTTTCTCGTTTATTGTAGTAATTCCCAGTATTCCAGCCAATGTCCAATGGGCACAGAATGGGGCGACCGTTGCTGGAGGTCATGGAGAAGGCGATGCCACTAATCAATTCAACGAACCTGGCGGTCTCTTCGTTGATGATGGTCAAACGATGGTTATCGCTGACTTCGCGAATCATCGTATCATCCAATGGAAGATTGGTGATGCGAATGGACAAGTGATAGCTGGTGGCAATGGCAAAGGAAATGGATTGGATCAATTGTGTTGGCCAATTGATGTGTTGATCGATAATGAGACGGATAGTCTCATTATTTGTGATCTAGGAAATCGACGAGCCGTACGATGGTCTCGTTGTAGTGGCATAACTCAAGGAGAAATCCTCATCGACAATATCGGTTGTTTCGGATTAGCCATGGATCATCAGAGAAATCTCTACGTCTCTGACTTTGGCAAAGATGAAGTAAGACGATATCAAATAGGAGATAAGAATGGAACTCTCGTAGCTGGTGGCCATGGCCAAGGTGATGATCTCAATCAACTTAATGTGCCGACCTGTCTTTATCGATCAACATCAGAGTGTCTACGTGTCAGACAGAGACAATCATCGTGTGATGAAATGGAATAAAGGTCCAAAAGAAGGAATTATCGTCGCTGCAGGCCAAGGTGAAGGGAATGCTCTGACACAATTGTGGCGTCCTAACGGTCTGTTCATCGATACGTTGGATACTATTTATGTGGCAGACTTGGGGAATCATCGAGTAATGCGTTGGCCTAAAGGAGCGAAACAGGGCCCTGTTATTGTGGGTGGAAATGGTCTTGGAGAAGAAGCAAATCAGTTCAACAGTCTCGAAGGTTTGTCTTTCGACCGACATGGTAATCTCCATGTCGTCGATTATTACAATCATCGTGTTCAACGATTTTCTATCGGATGAACTCAGAACGATTGATTCTTTTTCGTTCCTTTCTCTCAAATATGGATGGACGTAGTGTGGGTGTGTGTGTGTGGGTGGTGTGCTTGGTAATATGAATCGTATCGGTGCAGAGTTTGATTTATCTTAAGGTTTTAGAGCAATATGATAATGTAATGTGGTTATTGGAGGCATAGGTNTGGGGAGTGGGGGGGGGGGGGGGGGGGGGGGGGGGGGGGGGGGGGGGGGGGGGGGGGGGGGGGGGGGTTAATCTTTTTTTGAGTCACAGCCCACACCCACACCTCACCCTTTCATGCTGCTCATTATCACTACTTGCATACCATTTTTATACAAACTATTTGAAACTCTAGATTTTTTCTTGTTTTATTTTCGCAACCTGATCCTTTAAGCCTATTGCTCTGTGTCGAAATGACTGCTCTATATAAAAGTTATCTTTTAGCATGATTCTACACTAATATTTTGTCTACAATATGATTTTTTTAAACTGATTTCATTGAAGCTTTTGAATCTATTTTCATGAAAACAAAATAAACCTATGCCTCCAATAACCACTTTACATTATCATATTGCTCTAAAACCTTAAGATAAATCAAACTCTGCACCGATACGATTCATATTACCAAGCACACCACCCACACAGAAACCATATACATGTATACCGTGCCCAAAACTCTCCATAATTATAGAGTCCCAAGAATTCAATCAACTGTAAGCAAGTTTATGTATGTACCATCAACTTTCTGAGAATTACATAAGTCCAACTGTACAACGAAGCTCCAAAGACAGCAAAATTTTCTTGCGCAACGCACCTATTTCACTATATCGATACTCTATTGATCAACTTAAAATATACATTCATATACAACAGATACAACTACGTCAACTGAAAATCCTCAGAGGAGATCCAGAGAAAGAACTTTCATTGATAACATCAATCAAAACGCAGAAAACACATCTGAGCAGGACATTTCATATTTCAATAACAAGGATTCCACAAACCATAGAATTCTTCAGATAGACATTACTTATATTATCCGAACATACTGAACCACAGTTATCGAACTGAAATTTAACCGAGAAAACCGACGTCATACAGTACATGGGACGAACCCCACTCGTTTTGCCGGACAACTCGCTCTGCAAATACTGCTAATTGATAGAGAATAATATTCGGCATCTAACAAACTTGTTTACAACGTCAACACAGGTTCAGAGGCGATTCCTGGGAAGGTTTACTCCCGAAAACGTGTATATCACCTAGTATTTGATCCAAAACCCAACTTTTTGCCCGATGACCCCTATCAAAAAGAGTACTAATTGATAGAGAATAAAACTCGGCGCCTAACCCAAGTGGCTAGAAACCCAACACAGATTCAGAGGAGAATCTGGACTGGAATTACTCGACTCCGGTACTAACTTTACCTACGTAGTGTATGT